AGAATGGCTATTTTTATTGAAACAAAGGGAAGTTGTACGTTCATTTCGAGAGAGAGAGAGAGAGAGAGAGAGAGAGAGAGCAATAGGAATGCGTGCATAATTGACGTTCTATACTTCCGAAAAAGTGACTAGAGACCCGCGAGCAGCCGACGAAGATAGTGACATTTTAATTGAGACATTCGAAGAAAGCGTGCATCGTTGGGTCTAAGCTACATCTAAGTAGTTAGGAGGGACCGTGATATCGGACGTTACTTGACTTAAATCATCCTAGGTCGCTAAGATACGTCAAATGTGAGGACAAAGACACAATATACTACTCTATATTAGGCAAAGAATATCTAGATTTAAACGATATATTTCCTGACCGTGGCCAGAAAAATTTTAGTACATTTTAACATTACTAGTACTTTCTAAACACTTGAAATGAAGTTCGATTGATACATTGGTAATTTCATCGGCAATTTAACTTTGGAATTAAATTAAAATCGCGTTTGTTGTTGTTGTTGTTGTTGTTGTTGTTCTGGTTTTTTTTTTTGGTTTTTTTTTTGGTTTTTTTGATTGTTACTTGCGTTTCGTTTTGAAAGGGAAAAAATGAGGCTCTAATTAAATATGCGATTTAAAGAAGAAAATAAATTTTTTTTACTTACATTATTAAGGAACTATTGATAAACAATCTATAGTAAATCTTGAGCACAAGTTTGTATGTATTATGAAGAAAAAAAAATTATTTTCAATTTACTAATATTTCTAATTACTATTAATAGTTATTTCTAAAACAATGTGTAGTAAATCTTTCGATCTTTTGCATGTTTACATTTACATTTTGATTTTATAATTATGATATTAATTATGGATTAACCGATTAAATAATAGAAGATATATCTACCGTAGTCTATGTGAAATTTTAATAGATCCAATTTAAAAATCTCTTTCATAAAAAGAAAAAAACTAAACGTCCAAGCATTTCTCTATAAAGAATAATTCTTTTCTATAGTCAGATTCTTCAAGATCTAAAAATCAAGAGTGGAGGAGAGCCTATTTTTCACACTGTCTGTGAAGAAAAAAAAATTGGCTACGTTCCCCTGATATTCTGAACAAAGAATAAGATATTTCTTATTATTTAACCCTGTTTCGTGCCATTTCACTCGCACAAAAAAATATATCCATTCCGACTTTCGTTAGTATGTCTATAACATATAGTTTTCTATATATCTAACGTTATTTCATAATATTTCTTCATTTTTGCACGCATGTGTGTGTGTGTGTGATAGGACTAGTGCCCGATAAGGAGCATCGCGATTGTTTATATTCTGGCACTAAACTAAACATAATAATCGATGTTTTTCGAAGAAAAGAGGATAAATTAAGCGCCATATATAATATTTTAAATATTATGCAAAAGTGATGCCTATAATCGCTATTTCTTCTAAATCTTAAGTGAAACATTACAATTTGATTATTGAAGAATATATCACCATCACTTTCATAAATTCACACTTTGATTTAATATACATTGATAATATTTGCTTCAGAATAATTGGAAATATATTACGCCGATTTAATTGATTCGGCAGGAATTGTGAAATTTGGAAACTGGATTCAATTATTTATAGACAGATACTTTATAAATACATTCGAATATTGGAAAATGTAATGCTTTTTCCCCCCTATTCGTGCATCAGAAAAATTAGTGTAAATTATTACGGAAATAATAAAATTCTAATTATTTTATTGCATACATTATAAAATAAATATGTCCAATTAATTGTACACTAGCATTAAGAGTTTTTCTTTTCACAAGTAATTAAATATGCGTCGATTAAACTTTAAATAACCAATAGTATATATATATATATATATATATATATATATAGTAATTTAATTATTCTGCGTTGAATAATAATAGATTTATACATGTATATTCAAGTGTATACACAAGTCTCAGGGAAATGTTTTAAATACATTATACACTAATCTGCGTCTCAATTTATCACCATACGCATATCATAATTATGATTATTAAATAAAAATTTTCAATTAAAAATATTCCACATTATCTCGTAAAACTAATATTGCACTTAATCGTAGTTGGAAACATCACACCATAAGATCGTTGTTGCTTGTCATTTTGCATTTTCGTTTCGTAGCACAACAGAAGAAACAACCGAGTGGAATCTAAGGTTAAGACAGTTAACATCGTTTGAAAGAAGGAAAGAATTAAGAATCAGGACACCGTGATGATGAACATGATGTACAGTGTTGACGTTCGTACTACTTCATAGCAAAAATAAATGTCATCGACATAAATATAAAGACTGTTCTAAAATGTACAATGATTCCGAATTATAGAATCCTGTCTGTCGCAAATATATTCGCATATTCATATATTACCTTGTCCTTATATATTCTATATATATATATATATATATATATATATAATATATATAATATATATCATATCGCTATTACTGCCTTTTACGTTTATACAGCGTTTAATATGTATTTTATAAGTAATTGAATGATGATGAGCATGCAAAAATTGATTCGATTTCCATCGCCTTACGTCTGCATCCATATGCATAGGTCATTCTCATATTATCTATATTATTTTCATACATATATTTATATAATTTTAAGGTAATAATAGTACGTATCTTCCGTTTGGATATTCACGGGTTAAAGCGGCGTATCATGAAAATTCTATTTATACATACATAATATATGCCGAGATGTGGCAAAAATCGAGCCAAGATACTTACAAACTAATACTTTGGTAAATACCTGATCGCAGTATTCGCGTGACGACATAGCACGTGTACTAACTTCGACACGCATAAAACGGATACTGTATTATGTCCCTCGAGCTACATGTTAATACATGTTTGAGTAGCGCACATTCATTGCGCAGTCGAAATAGTGCGGCGTAGGCAACACAAAATTACTAAATTCAAATGCATTTATCTCGATAAAGGCTTATCGTCAAGCCATTCGCACAATTAAATTATACAAGAAAGACAATTTTTAATATATTTCTAGAGTTTCTCTGCTTATTTATTACCAGAACGATGTTTTTAAAATATAATAAGCTAAAATTTTCTATAACAAAACATTACTTAAAAAAATATTTTCTTATTTATCCTAATGCGTAATAAACAATTTTAAATAATCTTAATTTTATGATTTGGAATTATCTTTGATTATAAATAAGTAGCTCTCTCTCTCCCTCTAGGAATTTAGAATTTAGTAATTTTCTGTTTTTCATACACAAATTTCTAATTGCATTTCACTGAAACTTATTTGCATATGCTTTTTTAGCGTAACGATTTTTTTTTTTTTATTCATTTCTCTCTAATGAAATTTATATATTAAATCTATTATGGACGTTTTGCTCTGTCACGGGGTGCCTCCGCCTTGATAAAATACACAGCGAAAATAATTCATTATAGTACACTTATAGTATGAATTCTGTTCATAATTTGCAGATTTTTAACAACTTCTACATGTTATGTCTAAGCCAATATCAAATAACTTTGATTGAATCAATGAATTTGAAAATTCATTTGATAAAAATATCTATAAATATGTATTTATGCATAAATCTTTTCTATGATTATTTTATATAAACTGACTATAAACTTCTATGAATTTATAAAAATCCGTAAAAAATATATATAAAGCAATTATATAGTCATTAAAATGTAATTTAGAAAATTATTTTATGATCCAAGTTATAATCATTTCTTTCAATTAAAAAATCTGAATTTATTCTAGTCAAACGATAAAGTGATATTATATAGAATCTTTAGTGTATCATAAATTCAGACTGTAATTCGATTCTATAAATGACATTATTTGTCTACACAGTTAGACTACAAAATATTTTCTCTAGATCTTATTCTATATTATTTTACCAAAAAATGAGACTTTTATTTATAAGTAAGAAACTTAAAAGAAAAGAAAAACAAAAACGAAAATCGGAGAAGAACGTAATGGTGATTCAATTAAATGCTTCGAAAATACTGGATATCTAACAAATATGACAAAATTTCGTTGAAAGATAAAAGTATCAATATTCAAGATATTTATATATTTCGACATTATTTTTTTTATTTTTCTTTTGTTTTTTTTGTTTTTTTGTTTTTTGTTATTTATTATGTCATGCTATTTGAACTGTAAATAAAATAATTGTAGTCACTATTACAGCCATATTATTTAATTATATCTATGGAAAGTTGTGTTCGTATCGTTAGACAACTGGATATTGAAATAAAACTAATGTAATAACATACATTACACGGTCGAATGCGCGTTTTTCTTTTTTCAATTATTCTGCACTCAATTGTGTAAACTAACAATTTGCAATTATTAATAAAATATGTGAATTTATACTATTGTAGTCAAGGTATACAGCAATATTTTGGAAAAGAAATTGATTATATTTTCTGATACAATGAATATTATTTTAAGCAAATACTAAGCGCATTTTTCATTTTAATAACTTCTTAATAATTAAGGAATTCTTAATGAATTTTTAACGAATCTAGAAAATAATATTAATCCGCCTTTGAATTCTCGATACTTCTATCTAGTTTGCAGTACTTATTAGCTTAAAAATTTGTCTCGCTTTCTGGAGTGAATATTACATTTAACGTGCACGTCATTAGCATCATAAACATCATTAAAACTGTACGATCATATAATCTTTACAAACATTGAGATCATCAAAATTTGAATTTGTAAATGATAATTATAAGCCATTAATCCGTATATGTGCGGAACATTTATCGGATGATTTTACGAGTAAATTTACGCACAATTATAGTTAAAAGCGCGGATTACCAAACATCATAAGTTATATGAAGGTTAAACGTATTAATGGAATTTTGACGATCAAAATGCGAATCCTATGTAATATGCTAATCTTAGTCAGATAAAATTTGGAAAATTATTTCATTAATTTATGAAAAATAAAAGCAAGAACTTCGCAAAACGACGCCCAATCGATCGTAAATTATCATAATAATATTCCCGTACAAAACATATTTAAACGGCATTCGTTTCTTTACCTCTACGAAATGATTCTAATAGCAATATCATGAGTAGTTACATAACACTCGCATGACACAACGAGTCACGCTCCTGAAGAAAAACAGCAAAACTCTTCATCGTATAAGTGACGTAGAAAAACTGATTGAGGCACCCTTACGACTACGTGTAGTGTTCGTAGTCCCCGCACTCGGAGAGTGGGGGCGTGGATGGACACTAGGTAGGATTTGGATCCTCGTAGGCCTTCTCGTAGTCCCGTCTGCGTATAACGGCAAAGTGCGTCATCTGGAAACTGTTGGTCTTCTTGCAACCGCGCTCCAACGTCCCAGTCATGCTGTAACCCATGTTGAAATCGCTGGACGAGACGTTCGACGTCAAATACAGCTGCTCGAGTCGTGCATAATATAAAACAGAGAGAGAAAAATATACGGTTTATTAGTGCCGCAACGTGGATGTATGATAATTTTGCAGATGATGCGTGAAAAGGGAATAATTGGCCTGTCATCGCTGCGCATCATTCGCAATGGATCGCACTGCGGCTCTTTTGACTTTTACGTGAGTTGTTATTGAGAAAACAGGCCTAATTCGTAATTACAAGATTAATATTTACGTATTAGTGAAATTATTTGTATTTGTGAGTGCAGAGATATTTATATGGAAGGATAAATTTTCATGAATTAGTAATAATGAAGGTTTGCCATTAGGATGCTTTACTCGTATTTATATAGAATAGATAAGTATTTCTTGCCTAGAAAGAATAAAATTTTATTAAATATTAATGATATTGGGATGTTTACTCGTTACTGTTTATACAAATTTAATTCTACTAAAGATTAAATGGCTTTTTCTCTTCTTTCAATTGTCAATTATGCTCTTATAAGTTAAATTTTACATACCATAATATCTTACTTTAAACTGATAATTATACTCCAACGAGTTTAGCAGCAACGTATTATTAATAACTTATCGATTATAAATATTATGCACAAATTTGATGTGTAACATAAATGATTCTAATTTAGTATAAAGCTAAAATCATATCATTAAATTATACTTTAATAAATACTATTTTCTACATACTATTTTCAATGAATTTGATATTAACGTTGTTGGCCTTCTATTAATTTGAATAATATTTTATTTATTTTTTATCCCTTTTTTTTACATTAATGTAATACTCATGATGTAATTTATGTTTTAATAATTTTTCCGGAATGTATAAAACTATGTAAAGTATATGAAAAAATATTCTATACAATTAAAAATAATGTTTATTAGACTACCGCAATTTATTAATATGCTTTATATGGAATTTTTGAATTTGTAATTCACTCGTAAATATTAGAATTTCGTATTATATTATTATACAGCATTATTATAATTATAAGAGTATAAGGGAAAAAGTATAATTACGGTAGTATAATAACATGATATAACTGAAATGTCTCTTTTGGTATATAAAGAAGATATAAGAAAGTGACACTGATATTTCATGGTTTAGAACATGAAAAAAAAATTCGCACTGCCAGCAACTGAAAAAGCGTCCGTGCGCAAAAAAGCCGAACGTTCGTACGTAGCGGAGGTACAAAATCCAAATGATAGATAGGAATTTTGGTGAAAAATTCGAAAGGCAGAAATTATGTAAGAAATAATAGAAAATAATCGAGTCACGACTCCATTGTTCAATAAATATCCATAGTTATCGCCCGACATTGTATCGTCATATTTCGATTCAATTAAAAAGTCTCTATTGCGTGCAATATCACTAGTAATATCAAAAATCGAAAAATATATTTTGCACATATATTTCGTTAAATAAATGCAGTTCCTTTTTTGATAAATTTAAGTTTTAAATGTACGAGTTGCGCGTTTGTGGGAAGTGGAATTGATAAATTATTCCCGCTAATGTGCTACTCGTTCTCCATGTCTTTCATAAATTATAGAATTATTTTGAAAATATTATATTCACCAAATTACTAGCAGAAAATTCTTGATATTTCAACTATTCAGGACAAAGATTAATCAACAAAAAGTTACAAATTACAAATTAATCAACGAATGAAAATTTAAATAACAGAATATATATATATATATATATATATATATATATATATATGCTTTAATATAGTACAATATCCCTATTTATTTCAATTTAAAAAAAATTACAGAAAGACAAAAAATGCATTTTTATGCAATTAAGCATCTTCTTCTATCTCAATCATATAATAATACACGCGAATAATATTGTGAAATTATTTCTCAATAGAATATCATTTCGTACTATTTAAATTAATACATAAGTTATAAAGACAATGGATAGATAAATAATAGTAAAGAAAAATAATGCTCGAAATGATATAATTAAAAATAAAAAATTAATATTATCGATCTCATTTATATAATTCAATTTTAACATAAAATGAAAAATTTGATATATCACACGCGAAAAAATAATAAAGTATATGATAGTAATATTGCTACAATGAGCTTTCAATATACTTTAGGTACAAAGTTTATACTTAGTGGATAAAAAGTCTCAAATTATTTTTTCTACTGAAATTAGAATTTGTACAGAATTTGTGTTTTAACAATGGCATATCCTATAACGATATAATCAAATTCGTAATGAAATCTTATTAATTCTACAATCCATCATACATACATCAGGGAAGCCAAATCAATAAAATGTCAATGAAACATCATTGCTCGTACATTCAACAACTTAAAAGTATCCGACAAAAAAAGAAATCATTTTGCGTACACTATAACAATCTAAAAACAATGATTATATGATATATCCATATAATATAATATATAATTATAGAATAAGATAATAAATTGTAATGTGCAAAGATAAATGAGTTGATAATCCGTTCGTTTCAGTCGTTTTAATCATGTCTCTCGATATAATTTATTATATCTAGCAGATGGATTTACATTGGAGGTCGGACAATTTACAATGGAAATAAACACGAAATCGACAATTTATTGAAGATTCCTAAGTATCAATTACTCTCGCATTAAGAATCTTTATATATATATATATATATATATATATATATATATATATATATTTCACACGAATTGGAGAGATTCTGAGCCTCTCAATCGCTCGCACATCCACGACTACAAACACGTTCGGTTCTAATACGCGGCATTGGTAGAAATCAGTTAACGCTTCACCAGAGTACTGAAAGCTGCCACACGAGGCAATTCATATTACCAAAAAGGCGAGGTAGGAGCCTTTTCCGCTCTCTCACTTTGCGAGCACTTTAACCACCCCCTCCCCCCCTCCCCCCATGCTCTGGGCTACTGCAAAGCGGGAGCTTAGCGTGTCGCGCACTACGAACTAGGGTCGCGCGCCTGGGAATCCTACTTGGAAATTCGGCATAAAACTAGCAACCAACACGGACTCACGCACTTGTGTTATGGCTAGTCGTCTGCGTGTGCCTGTATTGGCATGGATGATATAGATTTCACGGGGCACGCTGATGTATAGGATGGGACAGTGGTGGTAGTAGATGCGCACGGTCCTTACGCGAAAGGGAGACGGTAAATGTAGCACACGCGACACGGTGCTTCGCCTTTTACTGCCGTCGTAAAATCCTTTGCCCATCCCCGTTCCAACGAATCCTCAACATATAATGCATCATCCACTTTAGGATAGCCAAGTTGAGCCAGCGCCTCCCATAAATGTCTTTGTGCTATTTTTATTTATTTATTTTTTTTTTCTGTTGGGTGACCTACTAGCTGCGATTCGCGAGAAAGAAAAGGTTGATCCCAAGTATCTTCTTTATCATAAAAAGAATCAATTACGTGCCCTCGAAGCTCCAAATCTATGGTCGAAGTAGGCCATCATTCGTTTCGCAATTGTACTGAGAATTTATTAATTACGTTATCGTTATCGTGGTCATTCTCCTACTCATTCTCAGTAATGTAAAAGTCGAAATAAGTTTTCGGTTCCATTAATAATAATTGCTACGATAACGGAGTCTAATGAAAAAAAATCCTGAAGAATTTATTTAACGTTCTTGTCATCAATCCGATCGTTTCGTTTAACTATGAGCCAAAAAAAAAAAATGAAAGTTTAATATATAAGATAAACGTGTTTTACCATTTTTCTTCTTCATTTTTTACCAACTCTGCCAGAATTATCGATTTAAATTAAACGAGTATATAGAAATTCACGATGTAAGTATTTTCAACACATGCAAAGAATTTTTCATTCTCATATTTCTTATCAGTCCATAAGACTTCAACCATAAACCAAACGAATACACACCTTAAAATCAGCATCTGTAGTCATCCTTTTAAATGATCCAATGATATATAATGTACCTGTGCCGGTATCGACCATCTTTGCTTGTGTACTGTATCTAAAACATATAATAAAATCAAAAAAATAAATTTGATTAATTAATCGAATTCTACTAGGCTTGATCGAATTTTTTTCAAATATTCTCCTTGACTATGCACACTAATTGTTTATAAATATATAATTTATAATCAAAATTGAAATTGTGAATAATTTTGATGTGCTATTTTATTACGTATTGATAAAAGGTCATTGATTCCCAATATTATGTAGTTTACCGTGGTAATGCTAAGCCGAAGAATTGAATTACTTTAATACCTACTTAATCAGTACTTAATCTATGTCATTATGAAATTAAGATCAACTTTTATTTCATCTTATTGTGGCTGCTATTTGACTTTTATTAAAGTCTACATAATAAAACAACAGTAATTGTTTATTATTATTATTACTATTATTATTATTATTATTATTATTATTACTATTATTACTATTATTATTATTATTATTATTATTATTATTATTATTATTATTATTATTATTATTATTATTATTATTATTATTATTATTATTAATAATAATATTCAATTACGTATTTAGATATAATGAAAGATATTTAAAAATGTGAAATTAATTTTTTAACAAGGATAACTCCGAATTCATAGAACTTCCATTGATTTGAATATTTTTAAAGCGAATCTTTTCACCTAATAATTTAACAGCAATTATTATAAATTTAAAAGAAAATGATAAGGACGTAATTAAAGACAATTTTATTATTGCCAACCAATAATCGTTTATATATGCGGTGCCCTTAGCAACTAAGCATAGAGCATTATAAAATAATAATTTATTATTGTTAAAATATAAACTTGAATTCCATACAGTCAACAACTCGACACATCGACACATCGACACATCTATATTCATTTTAATAATTATTAATTATTTATTTTCCATGATCTTAAAATTATCAATGGTAATCAACTAAAATGTATCTATAATAATTAGCATACATTTTTCACCCATCAATTAAAGTCAAAGACTTAATGGAAGTTTCATTTACGGTGGATCATTAAAAGTTGAAATGCTCTTCAACTTGAATGTTAAAGGGATCCAATTCGTAATAGAAGCCATTTAAATTCAGATCAACAGTCTTCTATCCCTAGCATCACGTGCATCGCAGACTATCATCTTTACCGCGTATAAAGTACAAGTTTACAAAGATAAAACAGCAACGATACGAACATTGAAGTAAAGTTCCGATTCAACATTCTTTCTATCAATTTTTCCACTTACGTGATCACGCTAATGGTTTTTACTTGGAAAGGTCACTTGCTCAGAAAAGCTCTTCTCTATCTCGCATCAAACCGAATTCGCAGCTACAAGTTCATGCACGCAAAAGCACTGCTTCGAAAAACTGTAATTACGCTTTTGCTAGTACATATATCAGTTTAAGCTCTCTTTTTGCGACAGTGCGCATCGATAATTTCTCTCCACTTCAAAGTCTTTTGAATTTTTAGAATTCTCACACACATTTTTCGAATGCTCGTGATGCTCGTTTATTATTTAAATCTGAGTTAATTCCAATATAATCTTACGCAAAAATACATAATCAAAATATAAATATATTATTCAGTTATTTAAAAGAAATTTATAGCAATAACTATTGTTTATAGTATTATAATTGTAAGATTCGAAAAGAATACGATACGTTTGAACTTATAATAATTATTCATTTAATCATTCAGATCTTATATATAAGAAATCTTATATTAATGACACATTAATAATAATTTAATAATATAAAAATAATAATAACGAGATATTTTAACGTGCAGTCACTAGAATTCGAATAAAAAATATTAATATAACGTATTAACCATCATAATTAGAGAATAAGAAAGTCTTATAAGCATATTAAAGCATATCGCCCGTTCACTCATAGATCATCCGACCAACACTCATTCGAAAATACGCTTAGTTCACCTGTATAGTACATACGTTTCCACTCCTTCAGAAAATTAACAACGTTTTTTCTCTAAACAAAAATTTTATAAATGAGATAGAGAAAGCTACCATGGACACGAAAGTTTTCCCTTACGTTAATGCGCTTATTTTAGAATTCTAGGGTACATCATCTGCTTTTACGAGTTTCATTTTCATTAAAATTTTAATCGAAGCTCCATCCCATATTACATACCATAAAATTAATCTGTGCGCATCATATATTCTGTATATATGCATGTAATCTATATGGGCATATACACAGATTTTATCGTTACTTAAACTGTACATCTTACAGATTAAACATTTGTACAAGTACCGAAAATGTCGTCCAAAGATGAATTAGTACTAAAAAATTATCTATTTAGCATAAAACTAATAAAAGATGGTCTTGATTATGTTCTTCGCGAGTATACGTGATTTTTTTTGTTGTTGTTTTTTTTTCTCTCAAAAGCATATGTATTCAAGACCTCTAATAATAAGTAAAGTAAAAAACATTAAGTAAACCGTGAAGAACGAACGTAGTTTGAAAATTTTACCGTGATAAAGATTTGTTACGGTTTTAATTAAACGAGAAAGCAATGGATAAAGAAAAAAAAAAGGCGATCAGTTTTTCTTCTTCACGCAACAACTGGCAAACAGTCTGAAAATAATTGTATAACTATTTTTTCAACATTTTTGTACAACATCGTTTTTCAATTTCTATTCGGAATGCTTACAAAACTTCATATATATATATATATATATATATATATATATATATATATAATTGTTTACTCTTAAAGTGATTAATCTTATTTTATTTATAAATAAATTAACAATATATATAAGTAATTCGATGTACTTTTAAAAAATGATGAAAATTTTCATAAATATAAAATATTGAATGATACTAGTTAATATATTTATTGTTTTATTTTTTTAATTTTATTCCTTTACTTCATAAATAAGCAGGACTATATCGACCTTATAAATACGTAAGAAATATTGTTCGTTGTAGCTGAATTCGAATTTACTAACAAAGTACAAAAAAGTAAGTTGATTCTTTAATGTTTATTTAATTAATGCTTCTTTCAATTATATAAATGCTGATAAATATTTTATTCGACTAATATATACGGATGAGTCCTCGTAAATATCTTTACTTTTAATTAGGGAATAATTAAGAAATAATTGTAAAAAATATAAATATACTAATTTATATGACGTCGTAAAATTTCTAAATTTCATCTTTTTTTTTTGAATCGTGAATTACAGAAGATTGATATTTTAAAATTTAATTGTTAAACTTTTACGAACTCACTTAATTTAGGTTTCTTAATTTCAATTATTTTTTTTTGTTTATTTATCCTCCATCAATAAAGCTGTATATTTGACATCTAAAAGTATATTTGACTCTCTCTGAAGTTATTGAAAATTATAGAAAAAAAAAAAAAAAAAAAAAAAAAAAAAAATATTTGTAAGAAAAGAATCATCTAACAACGTGTATCAAATGATAATTATGCAATAAAATGAAAATTGCGAATTGTACGCTATAATAATTTTGAGGAAAAATTTTGAGAACCATGCTGCAGACAATCTGAACATAAACATGCCGCAAGAGCCGCAAGTCCCTTTCAATGGGGGATGTTGATAAATGGGCGCATACGTATAAGAAAAGCAGCGTCGACGTCTACTGCCTAAGTAAAGCTTAGTCTCAATGTTGGATGGCAACCCTCCGGGGTAGACGAGTAGTGGACCGAGGGAATTCGATACGTACAGATGACTTCTACAAACAAACGTGGGCAAGGCCTCATCAAGTTTTCAAGTCTACGAGCAAGAAGACGCGCACGCTTTTGAATATTCCCCGTACTCAAATCCCTTTCAGGCAAAATCCCTGCCCATAAAACGACTTTCAAGCTTTTGCCATAGAAGAGTGAATAAGATTCTCCCTTTTTTTTCTTTTTTTTTTTTAATCCCCTTTTTACTTTTAGTGACAAGCAAGTACACTGAGTTTCTTACCGATCCCCTATCGTCTTTCCTATTATCGCAAACTGCCGAATGCTGTCTTCAGAAAATCCGTTCTCTATTTTTTTTTTTATTTCATTAAAATATGCGATAAAATTTTTATTGAGTGGTAAAGGAAAATCGACAATTTGGAAGTGAACTTGAGGCGGGAAACGAGCTAATGATTCTTTTGCGCGGCGACAAAAATTACGAGTATTGGTATAAATTCATTTTAATTATGCACTATTTGAAATATGAGAAAAGTGAGAAAAGTATATTATTTATAATATTGTCGAAAGGACGTTTTCATATACGAATGAATTTTCTTCGTATGTTAGATTTAAATTTTTAATACAATTTTTCAACAAGCCATGACGAAACTGGAAAAACTATTGCACAAAATTGAATGAATTATTTGCATTAAAAAATAAAAAATTAAAAAATTTTGTTATTCTAGTGATACATGATATGAACAGACTCGTGTCAACATGAATAATATTGCATAATCTGTAAAGTAATAATATACACAAATAATGTAATATCACAGGACTCGATTAATATCTACAAACTTGATTATAAAGCTTTGAAGAATGATACTTTTATCTGTGACATGTCTTATTAAAAATAATTAATTAAATAATTATTGCCACTAATAATTAATGTAATTAATCTATATTTATGAATATACTACTGAACAAGTTACTTTGAATGCTCTTTCACAATTGCTATTGACTTACTATTCAAACAAACAAAATTCGCCTTTGTCAGACCTTCTTCACTCGTAAATAAGAGTAATTTACAGAAGTGACAATACGAGTTCCTTTGTAATTCGGCGTGTATTTTAGCTAGAAAATCTCGTACTAAAACAACCCTTTGACGAGCGCCATCGCTTGATATGTAAATACATTCAGTGCGTATGATTTTACTGAGAGACGATAGAAAATAACAATTACCTTATTATATATGTGCTATTTGCGAAATTCAGGCCTAGAAATATTATTAGGACATATTACTGTGATATAATGAAATGAGGAAGGAAGCAAAATATAATCAGTCATGTGCTCATGAAGCAACGCCAGTAGCTTTATTACTAAACTTATGAAAAGATGTAAAGAAAACAAAGAAACTCCATGGGTAACTTCAAACGACATCAAACAGCTAAGAGAGAAAAAAGAGAAAAAAGATACAACGCTGCAAAAACTCAAGAGGCAATGTGTATTAGGTACACTCACACCCGTGCAGTAAAAAAATCAGCTTCGTAGTACAATGTTGATATTAATTATTTATTTTACAGAAAATTATATGCACATATAGATAAACAAGTAGATTTGTAGAGAATATAAAATAATCTACACACATAACAAAACAATAATTTCAATTAATACGTTCGTGTAATAATCGTATAGCAATTTTCAAAAACATATTTTATAATAAATTAATCGTCTACAGCTTTTATCGTTTTTAATTATAACTTTTATAACTTATTTAGATATTGTTATAAATATTTTCATTGATAAATTGAGATTAGCCAAAGATTAATCTATTAGCTCCATAAAATAGCATATACAAATACGCATACGTTCGTAATCTTATAATCGCAACATTAATATTTTCGTGATAAAAAATTCTCTCTTTTATCTCTTGAACGATAAATAGGAATACATACCTTTCATGTATTTTTTAAATGAAAAATATTTGTTCTATTTCTAGAAAAAATGAAGATATGAATAATTTTTATTTGTTATTAAAGAAATAAAAATGAATTGAACACATACTCTTTGAATTGTAAAAAACACTGGAAACTTGTTTTTTATCTAGAATAACTATTTTAAAAATTTATGAAATATATGACAATGTCCTATCGATCTGAATAATCTGTAAAATGAGAATTTTTTACACGAAAAATAGATATAAATTGTAAATTCATAAAGCTTTTATAAGTACAACTATTCTAATTTGTTTTACTTTTAATTTGAAAATATAATTGCATATCTTTGAGCGTAAATGCCATATACAACATTTATATTTGAAAAAGAAATTATGATTATGTAGCGTATAATAAATATAACATAGTGTATAAATTAATATACTTATATCTTGATATATTACATGACTTCGGATGAAGTTGAAAAATTACACATGTATTTAATAAAAACAAAAAAAACACAAGTTTTTTTTGACAATAATGCCGATCCAATCCTGATAAATACGTGCGTGCATATGCGTGTATGTTTTTCTGTGTTTGTGTTTGTGTACGCGCGTGTATACGAGTACGAACATAAAAAGAACATCGTCAATATTAAATATATAGCTCATAAATTCTCTTTATGTAAGAAACGTCTCGGAGTTATTGCAAATTCTTCTGAGCGAAGAACGAATTTCCACTCCACTCGTATACAAGTTGTTTCTACCATAATTTTCCCCTCCTACTCTCCTACCCTGTTCTCCGCATTCACAATGTATGTATAGGAAAATGAAAGCCACGTACTGCTCTCACGTTCGCCAATAGTACGAGAAGTACGAGTAACACGAGAGTAGTATTCATGGAAAATAGAAGGACATGGAAGTTGGAGACAAAGAGAAACACGGAGACATAAGCGAGGCGGAGTAAAGGGCGAGGAGGAGAAATGCGGCGATTATATGTCGAGCATGAGTTTCAAATACAGCCATCTTCTTCGCTCTTAAGGAAAACCAAAAATGCTCTTCTGGATAGAGTGGAGTATCGTGGACCACTTTCGCGCCTGACCCCATTAGTTTTACTGACACACGAATTATTCGTATGCATACGATAGCCAAAGTACGAGTTTCGGTTAAAACGATCACTTAATCATAAAACTAAAATTTGCTTTGAAAATTATCTGTATTCGCATCTATGATCTCGAATATACTTAATATATACGAAGTAAATGAGATGTAAGAATATATGAAATGTCTCATTGGCTTCAAAGAGGCTAGAAACTATACTAAGTAATTGTAAGTACAAATAATCGCTTATTTTTTGTTTTCTCACCATTTATTCATATACCGCAAAAGAGTTGTCCTTGTCTTCAAAATTATTTATTTATCATGTTTTTATAAGTTTTCACATATGCTAAGTGCATAACTAATTTAATAAATTTATATTATCTTTTATGCTTTATTCAAATTAAAATTAATATTTAAATATATAATGCATCGTACAGAGATATAAATGTAATGCAAATATAATGAGTATTAATCTACCAATAAGTTATTCGAAACTAATTTTAAGGTCTTAATTATTGTACATTGGATTTTATTTTTATTACTTTTAAATGCTTAGCATTATTGATATTCGAAAAATTAATTTATTTATTTTTGAAGAATTCAATAGTACTGATTTCCATTGTATTATAATTTTTACATTCGACATTTAATATTTTTCATCTGCTTTCGAGAGAAAGTGAGCGATAAAAGGGGTGAGCGGTGAGGAATATGGGAGGCGGGGGTGGGGGTTGGGGGAGGGGGTTGGGGGAGGGGGGGGTGAGAGAACGAGATAAAATACAAAAACTGTATTATTAATGGATTTATTGTAATGAATATATATTTATAATTACCTTCTCGTACCAGCGACTTCAACTACTTTACAACGACTTCGACTCCACCAAAATGGTGTTAATGTCCAGTAGGAACTGCTTGCGCTTCTTGCCCAACCTTCTTCAGGAAAAAGAAGAACCTGGACAATAAGAAATACGTCGAATATAAAATTAGGCAAATAACAATTTCTTGTCAGGATTATGTGAATATATATCAATTAATGCAAATAAATAAATTTTTGTAAATATCCAAACCACTTGTCGAAAAAAATGTAGTTGCATTACATTGAAAGAATAAAAGCTAAAATGAGAAAGTAATATAATTTTAATCGTATAAATATTAAAATTAATTACTTATAACTTATCGTGAAATAATATTTACCTTGCACATTGTTTGTAAATAATTTATTTAATAATATATATATATTATATCATACATATACATCATGGGAAATTTAGGTTTATTTATATTCATCGAGAAAATCAAATTTAAATATATAATACGTATAAATCGTATCTTAATTATTACAATTTGGCAATATTTTTTATAAATTTTTCCCACAAAAAATAAAAATATCGATTATGTAGTACAGATTCTTAAATGTATATATCAATGTAAATGTTGAATTGAATAAAAAAAAAGAAGAAAAAAGGGGGTGGGGGGCTTTTGAGGTAGCGCATTAGTTTACTCAACCAGGTAAAAAAATATCATTTTTCTAAATGTCGTCTCTTCTTTCGCACTACTTTTTCCGTCCTTATATCATGCTTTGCTCTTACTCTTTTTCTCGATTTCTATCTCCCCAAAATTCTCTGCCTCGCTCTCTCATTTTATCTGGTTTCCATTATAAATATGATTAAAATAGAATATTTAACCGTAATATATAAACTCTCGTGGATGCTATGCTAACACTCATTATTATACTCTTTTGAAATCTATATTATTTACAATCATTATATGTAAATATTGGACTTTAAGTTAAAAAATTCATTGTCAATTGTATATAAAAATTTCGTTTATAAGCTAAACTAATGTTTTTTTGACATTAACATTTGTACTTTAAGGTTTAATTGAAATAAAATGACATAAGACCAATCAATACCCGAATAAATAAATCTATTGTATAATTTCAGATATTTTTATTTTATAAATTTGTTCTTTTCTTTTTCTTGTATTTATTTGAATAATTTCAATTGAAGCTTAAAACTTTAACTTTCTTATTATATATAGATTATCATTACATCATCTTGAGCTTAAAACTTAAATGATAATTTAATATATTCGTTAAGATTAGCTTGTGCACGCTGTAATAATAAGCTACATCGACTATTTTAACAAATCTCTAGTAGTTATGCTAAAATGTTAACTAGGCGTTGATTAGTTCAGTAGGTAATTAAATGTGTGTATTTAGGTACTCTTCAGGCGAAGAGGACTTCTGATTGGCGCAAAGTTATATCGCTCGCACGACTGCCAAGTTCCCCATTAGCGTTTCCCATTAGCGGCCATTAGTTCCCACGTTTATACTACGCGAGTGAGATAGAGGAGGACGAAGGGGAGCACCACTGCACAACCCTCAATGTTCCCCATTTTTTTCAAACAATTATTGCATTACAGGTTAATTATATATATGGGATAGAGTATAAAATGGAAAATGGAAGAAAATGTTTGTGACGCCTATGTGTAATATTTGTTATTAGAGCATTGAGGCATATAATTGCGACGGGGGAGGGAAGGCCGAAAAATCATAAGCTTCATCAATAAAATAATAATAGAGATTGCTGTTTGTATTGTTCAAATAATAAAATGAATGGATTATAAGGAATCGAGAGAAAATTGATGTACGATCAATCAAATAGAATATTGTATAAGCAAATATCATGAGGATGAAATTCCCCGTTTTACTCTTGGCAATCACTCATTTTATTTCCTAAAAATAATCATGTGTCGAAAACAATTAACGAACGTCTGATTATGAAATGTAGATTCTCTACGCACATGCAATATATTCAATAGATATAAAGGAACATTTGTACAATTTTGAAAATGATATGTCTGAAAAGTGTATACTTTCATTATTAGCAAATATATAGTCACAATGCTCTTTACTTATTTCATAAACTTATGTTATAAATTTTATTAGAATTTTTTGTCTTCACATTTATTAGGTTTAGATGAAACTAAGCTCAAAAAGCTCTTTATGAAAAAATCATTAAATATTTATGAAGTGTTATTAGTGAAAATAAGTATGTGACGAATAAATTCATTATAACCTTTCCTGCAAAATCAAATTAATATGATAAATCGAGTCTTGAAAATAATAATTAATTTCCATATTCCACTGAATTCAAATATTCGATCGTCTTTAAAAAAAAAAAAAATCATTTATGCTCGAAGGCGCGTAAAAAAGTTGTTGTATGTTATGTTAATAAAATCTTGCTTTATTGAAAGCCATTTTCATGCACAAAGCATAAGTACCCGTTAATCCTAATGTAACATTTTCATGAAAAGTATTTTTGAATAAATTAATAGAATATTTACATAAAAGATAGGATAAATTATTTCTTCTAAAATATTTGCGTTATTTATGAGTAAATTGCTTTAGCCAATATTTCAAGAGCTATTTTCTAATAAAGAAAATTATTTTAATAAACAACGAGGAAATAGTCCAATTAGTAACATCTGTGCTCTTTGCAGTAATATTTAGGTGATATTTAAATTTTTGTAAACCTCTTTCTAATTTCGCGCAAAAGAAGCAAGCCGTGCATGGTACATATCTGCGAGTATCATAATAAAATTGAGAAACTCGTTTACTGAAGTGCGGCGAATATTCTATGCGAAATATTAAATGGCGTTGCACTTATGCGCATTCGCGGCCTAATGCTGCTCTGCTCGAAAACAAATATAGTCGTTTACAATTCGTGATTACGCGAATTACAACGAATTAAAAAGCGCTCGCAATTCAATTTTACCGTGCCCTCTGCAATATTACGTTGAATTGTTATTACAATTCAAGAATTGTTTATTGAGTATAATCTATGATTATTTTTCCCATTTCTCCAATCTTTCTACTACTCTCTCTCTCTCTCTCTCTCTCTCTCTCTATCTCTATCACTTGCCCCGTTGTCGTCAATGTAGACTCTCCCAATCAGTTATGAAAGTATTAGTATTTTCAAAAGAAATTTTAATCACGTGTTTATCGTAAGAATTTTATGCTAAAACTTTCGTTCTTTATAGTCACTAAGGTATCCAATACGAATTATTTCAAATTATTTAATTGAAATAAAACAAATATAAATATTCGTATGTTAATGGTGTCAAAGTATAATACAATTACTTAGTTTGCAAATCGAAGGCATATAAATTAATTTTACTTCTGATTATTAATCGAATGATTGTTTTATAAATAATTGAAGCTTTACATCATAAAAAATTATGCGCATGCATGAAGATATTAAATATTACTGTTGCAAATAGATTGATTGATAATACGATAATGATTGATAATTGATAATAGATTAATAGAAATACGTTTGAAACTCGTGAATCGAAACAACATTATGTTTAGAAAAATATATTTTCTAACAAAATTTTGATTAATATACGCAATAACGAATGTTTTTATTATGCTATTCCACAATTAATTAGTATTTTGTTTCAAAGAATTTTGTCGGCAAAAAAATATCAATACGACAAAATGCTAAAAAGCTGTATTTATGGGCATAATTTCACAATTTTATTAAATTTCTGCTAGTGCGCATTTTTCAACGTACTTATTAATTTGCATGAATTTGCACGATGACTTGTACTTCAAGTGATTTTAATTATTTTCAGACTGCTTTCCAATCTTAATCTTTCGAGTCGGTAATTCTTTATAATGAATATTATTATAAAGATACCATTCAATGATTAGGGCCTGTTTATGATTTTACTAAAATAAAATCTACGCATAAGCACTTGCAGGTAAATTACAGTCTGATTGTATCATAACTAAAACGAGCATATCATCTGAAATTATGGCAACTTACATTATAAATACAATTATATAATGTAAGTCGTGCTTGGATATATCCTGATTCAATAGGCTTATATTTATAATTAGTGAAATCCAATTAGTAAAATTAATATACGAAAGAAGATGACTACTAGTCATAGATTCTTGCAACAGATTCTTTTTTCCCTCGCCTTAAGAGCGCGAGTATTTCACTTTCGCTAACACTTAAAATGCAAAAACACATCTAGCACTTACGCTTCAGCGACTACGAATATAATAAGACCAAAGGAGAGCTCTTTCTTCTCGCTAGATTTTTTTACTTTCTCCTCTTTTGCTCTTTATTTTCGCCTCCGTTCCAGCTAACTTTCCTCATCCTCTGTGGTCCAAAAATGCCCCCGGGCATAAGGAAACTGCAATTTTCTTTGACAAAGACTGTACGAGTGAGAGAAAGAGAGAGAGAGAGAGAGAGAGAGAGAGACAGTGACGCGGGAAGAGCACGAGGGAAACGGTTGAAATAAAGGAGATGTAGAAAAGAAAGAGAGAGAAAGAGTGCTGAATCTGGATTATTCGGAATTTTCATTTTTACTAAGAAGCTAATACGCGCGCTTTCTTTCTTCAGTGCGCACGGCAATGAGAAAACCTTCCATCAAATCACATTCCCCTTCTTCCATTCTCTTTCTTTACTTGAAATTCGGAAAAGATTAAGTACACGTGTTTACTATAGTCCACGATTTCGATCGATATTTATTCGTTTAAATTATGCTAAGGAGAATATGACGGCATCAATTTACATGCGATAACTTTGCGGAAAAAAGAAACAAGCAAAAGTGGCTTGAAATATTATTGGGGAAAAAAAAAACAAATTTAAACGATTATATCGTTTATTCATTAAAATATTGAGTTAGGGCTTTAGATTATAATTTATAAGCATGGAAATTTCATAATAAAAATTAATTTTGCTTTACAATATTATAGGCTTATCATTGGGAGAGGTGGGAGAAGGGGATAATTCCATAATAAAATAATAAAATTATTGATATTTTGAAGAATATAGCTTGTATTAGCTTACATTAGCCAAGCACAATCATGTTCTTCTTACTCTTACATCATTGGATTATACTTTCCTCTTTTATGAATTCGGTGAAATAAAT